AGGCATCATCTTTGGGCCGTTAGATCGTCTCATCTGATGGTGGGATTTTATCCTCAAACCTCACCTAACACATAAACCTCACTAGAACCTCACCATATATATATATATATATATATATATATATAATCTAATATGTAAAATCTCTATAAATTTGTAATGTTTTTATGGTATTGTTTGTGTATATTTTCTTATGGTTTATTATTCTATGTATTATTTTAATTAGATTATTATTATATGTATTATTTTTAGGATTTAAAACTTTAGCTTAAAAAACCGGTTAATCAACCGATTTACCTAAAAAAAGAAAAAAAAACTTCTGTTCGGTTAATTCGGTAATTCAAAATTCGGTTTAGTTAATGGTTAAAGTTTTAAAAACTTTGGTTAATATGGTTCGGTTAACCGATTACACACCTCTAGTCTTGATATACAAAACTAAACTATGAGCAACCCCATCTATGATTTTTTGTTGAACTTTTGTGGGGTCCAATTAGGGATGGCAATGGGGCGGGTGGGTGCGGGGGATATATCCCCGCCCCCGCCCCCGCACCCGCATTCCCAACCCACTCCCCGCACCCGCACCCGCATCCACGCGGGTAATGAAATTTCAACCCCATACCCGCCCCCGCAGGAATTTTGTGGGTGCGGGTAATACTCAACCCGCAATTCTAATTATTAATATTACACTTAAATTATTTCCAAAAAAAATATTACACTTAAATCTAATAAAAATTTTATACTACAATTCTAATTATCACATGGATTTTTTATAGCTTTGAACATAACTCTAAAATTTAATAAGAGTCAATGAAGTTAATCATTAATTGGAACTAAAATTGTGTAGGTAGTATAAATTGAATTAAGTTTTTACTCATTATATTATTTAGGGGTGTGCAAACCCGACAAAACCGCCCGGTCAACCCGATCCGATCGGGTAAACCAGCCCTTCCAGACCAAATCGGCACTCGAATTCATTAAACCGAACCAAGCCAGCCATTTTAGCGGTTTAATGAATTCGGTTAGGGTCTTGTGTTTGCCCACCCGAACCTTTCGACTACCCGATGAAACCTAGGGTTAGATGTGGTATGTAGTAAACGGCGTTGTGTCCATAGTTTATATATATGAGTGTTTGTACGCTGCGCAGCCTTAACCCTTCAGTCTTCACTCTCTCATAGTCTCATTCTTTGATTTCTCTCTCGACTCTCAAGTCTCAACCTAGGGTTTTTCTGTTATCCCGTTCTATGAGTTCTCTCAATCTTTGAGAGTTTGAGACTCAGAATCTCCGATTCTCCGGTAGAAACCTTTTCTCTGATAGTCTGATTCTCTATTTCTGTCTTGAGTTCTATGAGTATGTGTCTATGAGACTGTGACTTTGTCTTTGAGTTCTCTCAATCTCTGAGATTCTGATAGTTCGGTGGAAGCCCTTTCTCTGATTCTCTCTTCGATATTCTCTGGGGACTCAGCTGTTTTGGTGTTATCTTTGAGTCAGTGAGTCGGTTGACTCTTGAGTCTTGAGTTTTAACTCTGTGTGAGTCTGTGGTGGAAGCTTGAACCTTTGTTCAGTTGTTGACTAACTCACTTGTGGACGGTTGGACGTTGCTTGAAAGCCCTTGTTCTCCTGAGAAATTCTATGAGAAAAGAAGTAAATCTCCAACCCTAGTTATTTTATTTTATTGATTTATTCAGTATAATGTGAATTATGTGATATAATATGAGATGCTGGGTTGTGATTCTTGTGATAATGTGATATATTATGAATATTTGAAAATGTTATTGTGATTTGTGAGTGGAAGCACAGTCCTACTGAAAATAGTATTTATTTACTTGCATTAGTTGTATACTCTGTGACTCTATGAGTATGTGAAAATGTGAAATACAGTCCTACTGAAAAATGAAAATATGATCTCTGTTGTCTTTCTTGTTTATGGATTGAGGACCCTTAAATATTATGATATATATTGCCTCTGAAATGTGGAAACTAATTGTGTCATTTGTTTGAATACATGATAAGTGCCTAACTGCCTATGTGTTGTACTGTTGTCCATATGATGAGCATTCAGAGATGAGAGACCTTTTGTTGTCTTTGATAGTTCAAATGTTTGATGAATGCCTGATGGAAATATGGAATTGTGTTGCACTTCTTAGTGCTACACAGTTAAGTGTTAAATGTTAATATGTTATATGTGTATCACTACACTTCTGAGATTGTGTATTATGATTTCCCATCTCCTACTATGTGTACTGATAATGTTCCACAGTTTATAGATGGACAATATTAGTATGCCTAGTACTGGTTGTGAACCTACCAATTCTTCTGCTCAAGGAGCAACAGCAGTGGAAGCCCAAACTGTTGACACAATTACTCAACAGACTGTGCTCCCTAGTGCTTAGTTCCTGCAAAGAAAGGGAAAGCGGTTGAAGCCAGATCAAGAGTTTGGGATCATTTTCAAAAGACTTCTAATAGTAATGGTGTTACTATAAAAGCAAAGTGTATCTATTGTGCAAAGTTGTATCAATGTCAATCAAAAAAACATTGTACTACATCTTTAAGGAACCACATGGTTAGCTGTATGAAAAACCCTCACTCTAAAGATACTAGGCAGTCCCTTCTAACATTTCGAGCTGTTGCGACTAGTGATGCATCTGAACCAACTATGGGAGAGTTGGGCACATGGGTATTTAATCAGGAAACCATTAGGAGAGCCTTGGTAGAAATGATTATCATAGATGAACTTCTCTTTATATTTGTTGAGGGGCAAGGGTTTAGGAGGTTCATTGCAGTGGCTTGTCCTAGGTTTAAAATTTCATCTAGGTGGACAATCAGTAGGGATATCAATGTCATTTATGAAGAAGAAAAATTGAAGTTAAAGTGCTTGTTTAGGGGAAACACTCAAAGAGTCAGTATTACAACTGACTCTTGGACATCTATTCAGAGGATAAACTACATGGTTGTAACTGCACATTTTATAGATGAGGAGTGGAAGCTGTGTGACACCCCGTAAATCTAAACACTAATCGAGGATTGATTGAAGAATTAATCCAAGTTTCCTTGCTAATTCACTTCTAAAAATTCTGAAATTTGATAGTCGATGGACTAGATTTTGACTAGTCACTTAAGTCAAAAGGGTGTACCTTGTGCTTCTTGAGTTGTACCCTTGTTCCCTTGTCTTTCCAACATTAGTAAGGGTAAAAATGTCTTTTCACCTATGAATTGTGATTCAAGCTACCCTAGCAAGACATTCTCATTTCATTCATCCTTTCAACTTAAAACACAAACACTCTAGCCTCTCTCTAAAATAATTTAGCTTCTTCTCCAAGCAAGAAAGTGAACTTTCAAGCCTTGCAAGATTTTCTACTAAGATTCCTACGTTCCCCTTCTTGAGCATAGGAAAGGGTAAGATTCTTAGCTTTTTAATGTTTTTAACCTTCTTTTGGGTGTCTTTAACTAAAGTTAGGATCTTTATTGTGTTTTGGTTTGTGTAAGAAGTTGGTGTGGACGAAGAGCTCTAGGAAAAGGCTTTTAAGGGTGGAAAGAAGAAGTTGTTAGGCTACAAAGGTAACCCATGCTATATAAAACCTATTTTCACTTGATAATAATGATTATTGGCTTCTACTTGTTGTTCTTGTGATGATTTGTGAGATTTGATGCATGATCTTGTGATGATGCATGTTTAGAGCTTGTTTCTAGGTTTCTTGAATGCCATTGCTGGGCTATTTCTTGGGTTCAAGTCATATCATTGTTGCGTGTGAGATTTTGGGTGTTTTGGACTTGAACTTGGCCTTGTTGTTGATTTTCCCCGAAGGGAAATTTTGGTGTTCAGATTGTACCTCGCGAGCGGAACGATGGGTAGAGGCCTACCCGCTGCCCCACCCGCGGGGGTAGCCATAAGGTTGGAACAGGGCATAAGGTTGGAAGTTGAAACTTGAAACTATGACACTGGTGACATGAAGTTGTCACTTGTGAATGTGAAGTCCTTGCTTATGAGCATGCCTTGATGTACTCTACCTTGTGAATGGTAGGTTGCATCCTGAGTGGTATTGTCTATGTTGGTTGTGGTCTTATCCTTGTTGTGAGGTTGATGATCCTCGTTTTTGTTGAGAGTGTGATGGTCTTTGATGTTGACTTCCTTTCCTTGGCTTTGAAATGATATATATTGTATTCCCGTTTCAAATGGTTTTGATTATATCTATCTATATTATGCTATTTAACGCGTATTGATGGGTTACCAGAATTATTCGCTGACCGGGTGTTATCCCTTGATTTTACAGGTTTTGAGGAGATGCCGAGCGCGCTAGATGCGGACGCTAGATAGTATAGATCCCATGCTAGACGTTTATCTTTTGTTGGCTTGTGTGCCTAGATTAGTGGCCTGTGTGCCTAGACTAGTGGCATGTGTGCCTAGACTTGTTATGTTTAATGTTTTTTTATAGTCTTTAGCCTATGCACCCATGGTTTATGGGTGTGGCATAACATCTCTCCGATTTTAATTTAGCTTCCGTTTAATGTTGTCTTGATGATTAGCTGTTTACCTTGAATCTAAGTTTTAAAAAGTTAGTAAAAATCGGGGGTGTTACAAGCTGCATAAAAAAATTATCTCTTTTATCCATGTTACATCACATAAGGGTGTGTATATTGCAAAAGCACTTGAAAGTTGTTTCACAAAGTGGGGGCTGAGGAATGTGTTTACTGTGATAGTAGATAATGCTTCATGAAATGATGTTGCACTTGGTTTTTAAAAAGGAAAGTGTTGTCTTGGGGATCATCTAGTGTGAAGAGTAAGTATCTTCACATGAGATGCATTACTCATATTCTGAACTTGGTGGTACAAGATGGTCTAAAACAATGTGATAGTGCCGTTAAGAAGGTTAGGGGGGTTGTTAGATAAGTCAGAAACTCTCCTTCTAGGTTGAAGAAATTTAGGGATTTGGCAGAGTATAGTGGAATTGAGCAAAAAACATCATTATGTCTTGATGTGCCAACAAGGTGGAATTCCACCTATTTGATGTCACAATCTGCTTTGATATACCAGAAAGTATTTGATGACTATGAATACAGTGATAACTCTTTTAAATCTGATCTGGGTGATTTTATTCCTACTTCTCTAGATTGGGAGTCTGTGAACAACTTGGTTAAGCTGTTGAAATGTTTCTATGAGATGACTATCAGAATTTCAGGGTCCTTATATGTGACAGCTAACACCTTTTTCTCTGAAATATCTGATCTATACTGTATCTTGAATGGAATGGTGGAAGCTGATGGGGCTGTGAAACTAATGGGGGCTAACATGGAAGCAAAATTTAAAAAATATTGGGTTGATATTGACAAAATGAATTATATGATTTTCTTTGCAAACATTTTAGACCCCAGGGACAAGTTAGAATATATGCCAACTCAATTACTTCATATGTATGGTGAGAAAAAAGGAAAAGATTACCTTGAGAAATTGTTGGCTGCTTTGAATGAATTGTATGATGATTATGCTGTGAGTTATAGCCCTACTGTTGTCCCAGCTACTGGTTCTGGTTCTGTAGCATCTGTTACTCCTATTGTTGAGTTTGTTTCTGCCCCTATTGGGAGGCCACAACATCTATTGAAGGCCCAAATTAAGAAACAAAGAATGGAAAGTGGTGGGAGGAAAAAAACTGAGTTGGAATATTATTTGAGTGAGGCAATAACTGAAGATGAAGGTTCATTTGATATACTGAGATGGTGGAAGGTCAATTCTGCAAGGTTTCCTATCCTTTCTAAGATTGCTAGGGATATCTTAGCTATACCTATCTCAATTGTTGCCTCAGAATCTGCCTTTAGTACATTTGGGAAGGTTTTAGATCCTTTTAGGAGTTCTTTAACTCCTAAAATTGTGGAAGCCTTGGTATGTACTCAGGATTGGCTTAGGCTGCCAAATACCCCCATTTCAATTGAAGAAAATCTAGAAGAATTAGAAAGATTTGAGAAAGGTAAAATAATGTATTATTTCAATCATTCAATTTAATTTTTTTTTTCATTGAATTGAATTCTAACAATCTTCTACTTATTTGATTTAATTGTAGAATTTAGTGTTGATGGTGGAAGTGCAGGTGTGAGGACTTGTAGTTCTACACTTCCAAGTATTCTTGTAATTGTCTTCCCCAATCTCTATACTTTATATGATATATTAATATCTTAATCTTGTATTCAACTATTCAACTGACTTTATATTCTGATGTTAAGGCAATGAAACTTGGTGACTTTAAGTTGCTTCCCTTGCTGAGTTTTTGGCCCCTAACCACTGCTCTTAAATACTGTAAAATGGTAATGCTCTATTTACAGTTTAGACTGTAAAGGCTTGGTAGCTTACTAACTTGTAAGAGTAAGTAAAGTTGTTGCATTTTGCAGTTTTGCATTACTATAAATCTGTAATTCTGGTAATGTTATCTTCTGAGTTTTTGATATATTATGGCAAATTGGCAATGGTGAAGCTTCCACCAATGATCTGAAATAAGGATTAAGTTGGTATGTTGCTCAATGTTCAATTGTTCATGGTGATATTGAAGATTTGAAGCAATTTGCCCTTAATCCATACATTGATATGGACAAATATGCTTACTGAGCCAATTTTATAATCTCATTTTCTCATTTGTTAAGTAATTATTATTGACTTATTATTTTTTACTTGTTTAGTTGTTTGTTTCCTTTACTAAATTGCACTAAGTTTTAACAGGAAGAAGAATAGCAGTCTAGAACACTAGGGGTATTACAAATTTACAGTTTAGAGTAGGATCAAGATTCAGGAATCAGGATGACTTTTTGTGATCAGGAATCAGGATGGCTTTTTGTGATCAGGAATCCGGATGGCTTTTGTATGATATCTGTTGATCTGCATGCTGGAAATCTGGAATGGTTTATTGAATTGTGCAAATCTCTATGTGGATTTGTAAATCTGTAATTCTAGTTTTTTGTGAAGTGTAAAGTATAAACTGTAAATCATTCATTTTTGGGGTTTTTAGTTTTTTTGTATGGCGTATTGGCATTAAGGCATTTTGTCTTGTGTACACTAGTTTAGAATTTAGGTTTAGTTTTTAATTGAATTTACTTTAAATTTTTAAAGTTTTATTATTCTTATTTCTATTTTGCTTAATCCGAACAATAGTCGGATATCCGACCAAACCGACCGAATCCGAAAACTTAAAACACCGAATGATTTAATATATAAAAAGCTAAGACCGGTTTTACATTCACCAAACTGAAATCCGAGCGGTTTAGCCAATCCCAACTCCGAACCGAACCGTCCGATGCACACCCCTAATATTATTTGTGTTGTTCTTATTCAATTTTAATTAACAAAAAAAAAAAAACTAAGAAGTTTAATTTATTATGCATTTTAATTATAATATATATATATATATATATATATATATATATATATATATATATATATATATAAACTTATATAATAAATGAATACTAATAACAAAATATATAAGTGCGGGTGCGGGTGCGGGTGCGGGTGCGGGGCGGGGATACCTCCACCCGCACCCATACTCGCGCGGGTATACAAAATTCCCCCATACCCGCACCCATTACCCAAATTGTGCGGGTATTTTAAAACTCGTAGGGCGGGGATGGATGCGAGGAATCCATTAGGTGCGGGTAGAATTGTCATCCCTAGGTCCAATATGAGTTGGAGGATAGAGAAGAAGGAGAAAGAGTGCATTTTGAACTCCTGAGAAATAGTGGTGTTTTGTGGGCCCCAAGAGAGAAAAGAATGGTTGAAAGACTACACATAGTATTTTGTGGTACATTTTAGTTTTTAAAATAATGGAAAGTAATATAGTGACATGAGGCATTGTCCCAATATAATAATAATAATAATAATAATAATAATAATAATAACAATACCCATTGTGGTCGCTCGATTATTAGATAATAATAGTTAATGCCCATTTTAGTCCCTCGACTATTAGATAAAAGGGTGTTTTTGTCCCTCTCTATAACGGTGGATGGATGACAATTGTAACGAATGATCAAATTGGGTATAATTTTACATGTTAGAGGACTAAATTTGGTACTTTTAATAGTATGGGATTAAATTATGCTTACCTAATAGTCGAGGGACCAAAATGGGTATTAACTCATCTGGATGAGATCTTTCAAATGATATAATTTATTTTTAATAATATAAAATTGTTTAAATATTTAACAACATATTTAAATACATACAACCAAATAAAGGATACAAAACGAATTAAAAAAAAAAAAGTAATGGCAGAATAGGAATAAATAATTTACACCAAAAATGGCGTGGATGAACAGTACTATGCCATATTTGGCACAGTATTGTTCACCAATGACAAAAAATTTGTCGTTTTGGTGTGTTCGTTGGAGTCCAAATGCGCCAATTTTTTTTTACCGAAATGGTATTTTTTTCATCTTCTTTGGAGATGCTCTTATAACCAATGTATATACGGTAGCACCAAAGAACATAGCCAATAGACACCGTTTCACAAAGTTAAAGGTGATGGTTGTTAGTTGGTCGGATTGAGTAAGCACAAGGTTTTAACTTTGACTCCTAGTGAAGATATTTATTGTCTCTTTTTTTTTCTGTTTTTTTTTTATTTGAACTAGTTAGCTATGAGTAATTTAAACTCGTCATTTTGATCTTTTGTTAGTTAAGATCACAAGAAGGGTTTCACCAAGGCACACATTTAAATAAACGACTATGTGGTTGGGCCATCGTTACCATCAACCAATGACATTTTCTCATTTTACGTGCTCTTTTAAAAAGATACACTCATCAACCAAGGATTGATTATCTTGAAACCTTTCCCCAGTTGCAAAGATGACTACCATCAGAATACTACTTGAATGTTGTGGTTGTTGCTAAAGGATGGTATTGGCATCAATTAGACATCAACTATGCCTTTCTCCATGGTGACCTTGATGAGGAGGTATATATGAGGTTGCCACCTGGATTTTATAGTGACAAACCCAACATGGTGCGCAGATTGATGAGGTCTCTCTATGGCCTAAAACAAGCAAGCAGACAATGGAACTCTAAGTTGACTACATCTATACTAAATCATGGTTTTCAGTAGCTTGGTGCAGATCCCTCCTTATTTGTCAAAAAGTCGAATGACTCATTCTTGGCTCTTTTGGTTTATGTAGATGATATCATCGTTGCTAGCACCGATCTCTATCTTATTGAGGATGTCAAGTCCTATCTCCACTTAGCCTTTAAGATAAAGGACTTGGGTCATCTGAGGTATTTCTTAGGGGCGTTTGGTTCACAGAATCTTTGAATTACCTCCAAGAAGGTAATGTGAGATTTTGGAAATGTAAGATTACTTATGTGTTTGGTTTGGATTATGGGATATAATATTACCTTGTTTGGTTAACGGTTATATTTTAGGTTAATGGATCAATTTACTATAATGTCATCAATTTTATATATATATATATATATATATATATATATATATATATATATATATATATATATATATATATATATATATATATATATATATATATATATATGAGTTAATACCTAATATAGTCTTCGACTATAGTAATTTTACTCAATTTAGTCTTAAATGACTTTTTGTGCTCAATTTAGTCATCGAGTTTGATGATTTTACACAATTTAGTCATTTGTTAAAAATTATGTTAGTTGACTGTTAGAAATAGGGTCCTAATGGTAATTCTCATCCTTCATCCCATTTGGGATGATCCCTTCTTCTTTCCCTTAATATGATCCACGCAGAAATGTAAATAATTCATTCTTCTTCCCCTTATTTATTTATTTAGAGTTGAAGTTGATTTGGGGATGAAGATCTCCATTTCTGCGTGGAGCTTAATAAGGGGAAGAAGAAGGAATCATCCCAAATGGGATGAAGGATAAGAAATTACCATTAGGACCCTATTTTTAACAGTCAATTAACAGAATTTTTAACAAATGACTAAATTGTGTAAAACCATCAAAGTCGAGGACTAAATTGAGCAAAAAAAGTCATTTAGAACTAAATTGAGTAAAACCACTATAGTCGAGGACTATATTGGGTATTATCTCGTGTATGTGTGTGTGTGTGTGTGTGTGTGTGTGTGTGTGTATTTATGAGTAAATTACCAAAATGGTCCCTCGACTATAGCGGAAGTACCAAATTGATCCTCGACTTATTTTTTGACCGATTAAGTCATCAAGTATTTAATTTATGTTCGATATGGTCCTCCGCCTATTTAGGGGTTAAGTCGCCGTCTCTTTTGAGGGAAAATGGGACTTTCATTCTTCTTCCTAATCAACTCTCTCGTCCTCTCCTACCCTAGCCCTCTCCACCATTTGCCTAATCATATCACAACGTCCCCTGGCTTTCCCACTTTGCAAAACCATTACACTCTAATTCTCAGCCAAAGCCAACTCCAAACCTCCGCTGCCGTCCACCACAGAGGAGAAGAACTCGTTTGCGATGGCTACCGGCTAGCCCTTCATTGGCATAGCTTCGCGGTGAGGATGGCGACCAGTGACCACAGGAAGGTGAGGAGAGATTGACGATGTTTAAGGAGGGGACTGCGACGTAGTTTCCCTTGGACGAGAAACTTCAGTGATGTGGTTGTTGTGGCGAAAAGAGAGAAAAAAGGCGATTTTGACTTCTTGCCAATTTTGACCAGAAATTCCGACGCTGGTGTTACGCGTCAAGGCAATCTGATCCGGTCATCTGCCTTGCCTCTTTGAGGCGGTCATGGGGGTGGGTGGCGCGCCTCCAGAACTGGTGGAGGAGGCCTCTAGAAGTCGCGATCCAGTCTTCGGCGCGGGAGGTTTTTCCGGCGTTTGATTCCTTGCATGGACGATCGGAGGTCATAGATGGGGTTAGAGATGCATCTAGATCAACCCCCGCTGCTCAGATTGTGGATCGGAGTTGGAATAACATGTCGATCTGCCCTAGAAACAGGGTTATGTATGCCGTTTGTACGGTTCTTTTGCCATTGACGGAGGTTGAGTTCACCGCTGTGAGGGCCACTTCGATGTGGAGATCCTCATCAATTTTATTAGCGATTTTCTGCAATTTGTAGAGTATTTTAGTTGCGTTTTCGAGGCGAGTAGAATTCTGAAGCTTCCGTCGTCGCCGCCCCTGATTGCCCAGGTCTAGGCTTCCGCTGTCGCCGTCCCTGATTGCCAATAATAGGTCTTCTCCCATTGCGGTTTTGTCTAGAACCCTCCCCGCGATGTCAACGATACGTACATCCACAACGTTGTCTGCTCTGAGACTGTACTTTCTCACCAACGGACCATACGCGTTGTCGATTATGTGGCCTTCGATTCCCTGGTGCAAAACCCCACCAAAAAACCAAGAGTCTTGTTTTTTTTTTTTCCACAATTCTGTAATAAACTTCTGATAGAATATATATACCCCAGGTCCGAATTCTCTATACGTCTGAGTTCCTGTTTTATAGTCGGGTCGGGGTCAAGCGGTTTGGGTCCCGATCTACAGGTCGAAGTCAA